AGTCGAAAGAATAGTACATGGTTTCGAAAAGCTTTAAAAAAAAGAGGGCGGTAAGCACATAATAACCACAAATTTATTTAAAAAAAAAAGCAAGGCGAGTTGCTGACCATATTCGCATACATATCCATTGGAGACATTTGTCAAGGATTAAACCTTTTGTAGGCATATAGAGCCAAGAGAGAGCCATCAAGGAATATGAAGAAGGGAGGGAGGACAATGCGTCATAGAAGCAAAAAACAAAAAAAGTCAACGATGAGACAATCATAACGATTGAAACACATACGAGAGCGAGAAAGAAATCCCCCTTATTCGAGAATAAAGCTTCATTCCTGACCAAATTAAAGTTGAAGACTGGTCCTCTCCAAATGACAACTTGCAATAGCAGCATCTAAACGATTAAGGAAGCATCGGGCGTGGTAGAGAAACAACCGGCCATATTCCCAAAGGCATTTCCACAAAAGTATGGGAAAGGAGCCCCAATGGCCAAAGCAAGTAAGGAAATGGCAATCATTGAAACACGTTTCTGCCGCTAGCCACTAATGCAAGGCTTGATCAGAGGGAGAACACCTAAAGTTCTTTAACCGTGCTTTGGGAGACGAAGTGAGGGAGCAAAGGAAAAAGAAGGCTGCGTTAGCATCTGCAATTGATGAAGAAATGTGAGGAAGGCGAAGAAGGCCAATAGTGCAATGAATGCAAGCAAGACAAAGGCAGAGATCTCAATTGCGGCATCTGCCCTCTCTCCAAGGTCGTTTTTCCTTAGCGCCATGTTGAGAAACCCGATCAGCCTATAGCCAAGCCGGCGAAGCAGATTGCAAGGGGAGATTACAAGCAAGAATGCCCCGCCTATCCTAAGCATAGCGTGAGGTGTGCCAGGTGGTTAAGGACGAGCGTCGTCCCTTGACTCAAAGCAAGCATGAGAGAGTTTCGGAAGCCCATATCGCGTCCTCCGCGTTGTCAATCAGCTGGTCCACCATAGCTGGATCCACCACGTAGTCCATGATGCTTCGCCTCAGAGTACTTAGTCTAGGAAACACACGCTGCCTCCACCAGTTCCACCGAGATCGACAAACAAACCGTCGCAGTATAGTCCCTACTAGTCTGGAAAACCTTCGTCAACCAGTATAGAGCACATGCGTACTGAAAGAGATGGGATCCATCAGGGTGTTTCCTTT